TAAAACACTGAGGGAAGTAAACGCCACCTACAACCTGACTTTCCTTGAGTTTATAGATATATTTGGCGTTTTCTGCTATGATTCTCTCACTGTACACTGGTCAGCTGAATATAGGTCAGCTACTAAAACATTAACCTTGACTGTTTAACTATTCACCTCTTTCCCACGACTGGCACTGAGGGATAACCGTCCTATAACCTTGGAGTTTTGAACTGTTGATTTGACGATGTCTCCTGTGTTTCCCTCTCGTTAGCACTGGTACAGGGGATATGATGGTGGTACAGATATGATGCTACTGTCAACAGATGAACGTCAGTAAAGATGAGAATTTCACTTCGCTAGTTGTACGTCTGGCAGTAGCTGCTGTTTGGATGCCGGTCAGCCATGTTTAAATGCTCAGATCTTTCCCTCGTTTGGCACTGAGGAAAAAAGTCCTACAGACCTGTCATTTCCTTGGAGTTTTGTTGATCAGGTTTTCTGCCATGTTGTCTTCCCGTTGAACACTGGTGCAGTTGATATGGAGGTCAGTTATTTCATTGTAGTGGAAAACATCTCATGTCTGGTTCACGTCTGGCAGCAGGTCTGATACTTGAATGCCGGTCCCTCTTTTGTCATATTTAGTCCATTTCGTTGTCGTCACCGTCAGTTTTTATGTCACTATAGGTTCCTTGCATGTTGTTGCAGCAGTACTTGCAATTTGGCCATCACTGGAGTTCGGATAGGCCCAGGGGACGGCAAGATATAGGAGCAGCCTTGTTGCTGCTTGCTGCGGCTGCATCTCTTGACAGAGTAGTAGTAGTGAGAAAGCAGCCACTGAGAGGACACGTCCCTCTCAGATCAAACATTTCTCACTTGAAAAGTTGTCCAAGGTGATTTCTGTACCAAGATGCCATTGTGTTGCAGTGTCTGACAGGATGAATATCAAAAATGGTATACAATACAGACAGGTTGGTAGGTAAGACACATAGGCAACAGTTAGGCAACTTTATTCCGAAACGTTTCGCCTACACAGTAGGCTTCTTCAGTCGAATACAGAAAGTAGGCAGGAACATTAGAGATGTGAAGACGATGTAATCAGTCCATCACCCTTAAAGTCGTAGATTTGAGGTTGTCAGTCCCTCAGCCTGGAGAAGTTCAGTTCCATAGTCAGGAACTATGTGAAGATCAAGCGACAGTGCGGAGACTTAAATACTGTCGGAAGGAGAGGTGCAGAGTAGTAGTAGTGAGAAAGCAGCCACTGAGAGGACACGTCCCTCTCAGATCAAACATTTCTCACTTGAAAAGTTGTCCAAGGTGTTTTCTGTACCAAGAAACGTTTCGGAATAAAGTTGCCTAACTGTTGCCTATGTGTCTTACCTACCAACCTGTCGGTATTGTATACCATTTTTGATATTCATCCTGTCAGACACTGCAACACAATGGCATCTTGGTACAGAAAACACCTTGGACAACTTTTCAAGTGAGAAATGTTTGATCTGAGAGGGATGTGTCCTCTCAGTGGCTGCTTTCTCACTACTACTACTCTGCACCTCTCCTTCCGACAGTATTTAAGTCTCCGCACTGTCGCTTGATCTTCATATAGTTCCTGACTATGGAACTGAACTTCTCCAGGCTGAGGGACTGACAACCTCAAATCTATGACTTTAAGGGTGATGGGCTGATTACATCAACTTCACATCTCTAATGTTCCTGCCTACTTTCTGTATTCGACTGAAGAAGCCTACTGTGTAGGCGAAACGTTTCGGAATAAAGTTGCCTAACTGTTGCCTATGTGTCTTACCTATCAACCTTTTGGTATTGTATACCATTTTTGATAGACAACCAGGGGTCTTGAAGACAACCAGGGGTCTTGAAGACAGCCAGGGCTCTTGAAGACAACCAGGGGTCGTGAAGACAGCCAGGGCTCTTGAAGACAACCAGGGGTCTTGAAGACAGCCAGGGGTCTTGAAGACAACCAGGGGTCTTGAAGACAGCCAGGGGTCTTGAAGACAGCCAGGGCTCTTGAAGACAGCCAGGGCTCTTGAAGACAACCAGGGGTCTTGAAGACAACCAGGGGTCTTGAAGACAGCCAGGGGTCTTGAAGACAGCCAGGGGTCTTGAAGACAGCCAGGGGTCTTGAAGACAGCCAAGGGTCTTGAAGACAACCAGGGGTCTCGAAGACAGCCAGGGCTCTTGAAGACAACCAGGGGTCTTGAAGACAACCAGGGGTCTTGAAGACAGCCAGGGGTCTTGAAGACAACCAGGGGTCTTGAAGGCAGCCAGGGGTCTTGAAGACAGCCAGGGGTCTTGAAGACAGCCAGGGCTCTTGAAGACAACCAGGGGTCTTGAAGACAACCAGGGGTCTTGAAGACAGCCAGGGCTCTTGAAGACAACCAGGGGTCTTGAAGACAGCCAGGGCTCTTGAAGACAACCAGGGGTCTTGAAGACAACCAGGGGTCTTGAAGACAACCAGGGGTCTTGAAGACAACAAGGGGTCTTGAAGACAACCAGGGGTCTTGAAGACAACCAGGGGTCTTGAAGACAACCAGGGGTCTTGAAGACAGCCAGGGGTCTTGAAGACAGCCAGGGGTCTTGAAGACAACCAGGGGTCTTGAAGACAGCCAGGGGTCTTGAAGACAACCAGGGGTCTTGAAGACAGCCAGGGGTCTTGAAGACAGCCAGGGGTCTTGAAGACAGCTAGGGGTCTTGAAGACAGCCAGGGGTCTTGAAGACAGCCAGGGGTCTTGAAGACAGCCAGGGCTCTATTGCTAATCCGACTTATGTATGCTGGGAGTGCAGTTGAACAGTCTTGAGCCCCTGACACTTATTGTGTTGTCTCATCGTGCTAGTGGCACCTCTGCTTTTCATTGGGGGGACATTGCATCGTCTACCGAGTCTTTTGCTCCAGCTCCCATGGGTTTAGCACTCCCCATGATTATAATAATAAGTTTAAGAGGACAACTGTAAAAATAAAATTACTTTGGCCTATTTTTTTGGGGGGGGGGGTTGTTATCCTATGTAATTTATTCATGTTACTGTATATGATTATTATAATGAATTTGTATAACTGTACTGTACCTGTACCTAAATAAACTTACTTTGCTTACTTGCATACTTGTTTTCTTGCTTGCTTGCCTGCATATTTACTTCTGTTCCTTCTTAGTAGCTTTCTTGCTTGCTTTCTTGCTTGCTTTTTTGCTTGCATACTTGCTTGCTTGCTTTTTTGCTTGCATACTTGCTTGCTTGCTTACCATCTTGCTTGCTTACTTGCTTTCTTATTTTCTTGTTTCTTTGTTTGCCTAATTTCTTTACTTTGATAAATTAGACACATATGCAACACTGGGGTATCTGTATTGTGGAAATGTTTTGCCATACAGTGACTTTATCAGTCCTATACAAAGAATACTGAAGATCATGAGTTAGAGGTAATCAGTCCCTCAATCTTGAAAAGAATATAGCATATGCACGAAGAAGTGTATACAGCCTGTCCTTACTTAGCGACATTACTCGTTTACCAATGACTCGGACTTACGACGGGCTCTCTGACCAGTATGCTTGCCTGAATAATGTATATTAGAGCTGATTTTCTCTATTCTGTTTATTACAATGCACAGTATATTACTGTATAAACATTTAAAAATATACCAGAAATGTTATAAATGGTACAAAGGTAACATTAGAACAATATCAAAGATGGTTGACACAAACTCACTACCATTATAGTATGCTCCTCACTTAGCGACCCCTCAAGGAAGGTTCCTTGATATTGGTGAGGGGCTCTTGATTTAGGGAATTGGATCTGTGCTCCAGTTCCCCGAATTAAGCCTGAATGCCTTCCACCTCCCCCCCAGGTGCTGTATAATCCTCCGGGTTTAGCGCTTCCCCCTTGATTATATTAATAATAATCCTCACTTAGCGACAAATTCGTGTACCGACGTGGTCTTAGGAACGGAACTCCATCGTCAAGCGAGGAGAGGCTGTATAAGCCACTTCTTTCTGCATATGCTGTATTCTTTTCAAGATTGAGGGACTGATTACCTCAAACTCCTTCTGACCTTCACTATTCTTCTTTGTATAGGACTGATGAAGCCGCTGTGTAGGCCAAACATTCCCACAGTAAAGATACCCAAGTGTTGCATGTGTCTAATTTATCAACTTGTTAGTTCTCTGAACGTTTATTTCCTTCACTTACTTTATTTACTTCGATTACATGCATTCATAGTTTTGCTTACTATTATGTACTTACTTTTGCTTACTTTACTTACTCTGAAGAAGGTAAAACAGTGACTAGCATGCCCGGCTTGATTTAGGTACAATTCTACAGAATTCTGGATGATTACAATTGTCTTACATAACATTATAGGTATAATTCATCCAGGATAACCCCAGAAAATAAGTGACTTAATTCCATTGGGATCCTTGATTTACATTGGGGTTGTTGATTTCTGTTGATGGCTCTCGGTTTCCATTGGGTTCTTGATTTACATTGTGTCCTTGATTTCCATTGGGTCCCTTGATTTCCATTGGAGTTCTTGATTTCCAATTTCAGTAAACAGCATAATCTGAAAATTGCATATACTCGTGCATTTAAAGAGCGAGGAAGTGACAACATAGTTATTCAGAAAACGTTTGGCCCGGTGGTCTGGTGGCTAAAGCTCCCGCTTCACACACGGAGGGCCCGGGTTCGATTCCCGGCGGGTGGAAATTCCGACACGTTTCCTTACACCTATTGTCCTGTTCACCTAGCAGCAAATAGGTACCTGGGTGTTAGTCGACTGGTGTGGGTCGCATCCTGGGGGACAAGATTAAGGACCCCAATGGAAATAAGTTAGACAGTCCACGATGACGCACTGACTTTCTTGGGTTATCCTGGGTGGCTAACCCTCTGGGGTTAAAAATCTGAACAAAATCTTATCTTATCTTATCTTATCTTGCATATTAAATTTATTTTATACATTGTGTTATGTTTGAAGTTAGTCTCTAATTCATCCAAATAATTTAGCAGGAAATTTTCTTAACAGTTTATTTGATGGTGGACCACAGAGGTACCAGAAGCTGGTGTCCAACATCCGCAGGTTCACAGTATGCCAGCTTGGATTAGCAGTATTTAAGGTAGATTTCTTGTTTGTATTTCTATTATTTAATTTTTAACACACTGGCTGTCTCCCACTGAGGTAGGGGTGACTATAAGAGGAAACAATACCTGGAGGGAGGTCTACCTGGAGGGAGGTCTACCTGGAGGGAGGTCTACCTGGATGGAGGTCTACCTGGAGGGAGGTCTACCTGGAGGGAGGTCTACCTGGAGGGAGGTCTACCTGGATGGAGGTCTACCTGGAGGGAGGTCTACCTGGAGGGAGGTCTACCTGGTGGGAGGTTACCTGGAGGGAGGTCTACCTGGAGGGAGGTCTGCCTGGAGGGAGGTCTACCTGGAGGGAGGTCTCCTGGAGGGAGGTCTACCTGGTGGGAGGTCTACCTGGTGGGAGGTCTACCTGGAGGGAGGTCTACCTGGAGGGAGGTCTACCTGGAGGGAGGTCTCCTGGAGGGAGGTCTACCTGGTGGGAGGTCTACCTGGTGGGAGGTCTACCTGGAGGGAGGTCTACCTGGAGGGAGGTCTACCCAGAGGGAGGTCTACCTGGAGGGAGGTCTACTTGGAGGGAGATCTGCCTGGAGGGAGGTCTACCTGGAGGGAGGTCTACCTGGAGGGAGGTCTACCTGGAGGGAGGTCTGCCTGGAGGGAGGTCTACCTGGAAGGGGGTCTGCCCAGAGGGAGGTCTACCTGGAGGGAGGTCTACCTGGAGGGAGGTCTACCTGGAGGGAGGTTACCTGGAGGGAGGTCTACCTGGAGGGAGGTCTACCTGGAGAGAGGTCTGCCTGGAGGGAGGTCTACCTGGAAGGGGTCTGCCCAGAGGGAGGTCTACCTGGAGGGAGGTCTACCTGGAGGGATATCTACCTAAAGTACTGTATTCATTAATACTGCACTGACATAAGGTTGCTTATACAGTGGACCCCCGCATAACGATTACCTCCGAATGCGACCAATTATGTAAGTGTATTTATGTAAGTGCGTTTGTACGTGTATGTTTGGGGGTCTGAAATGGACTAATCTACTTCACAATATTCCTTATGGGAACAAATTCGGTCAGTACTGGCACCTGAACGTACTTCTGGAGTGAAAAAATATCGTTAACCGGGGGTCCACTGTATATGCCTAGTGTGAGATATCCAGGTTACTAGCAAACAAGTACTACCTGGAGTTTACCTGGAGAGAGTTTCGGGGGTCAACGCCCCCGCGGCCCAGTCTGTGACCAGGCCTCCTGGTGGATCAGCGCCTGATCAACCAGGCTGTTGCTGCTGGCTGCACGCAAACCAACGTACGAGCCACAGCCCGGCTGATCAGGAACTGACTTTAGGTGCTTGTCCAGTGCCAGCTTGAAGACTGCCAGGGGTCTGTTGGTAATCCCCCTTATGTGTGCTGGGAGGCAGTTGAACAGTCTCGGGCCCCTGACACTTATTGTATGGTCTCTTAACGTGCTAGTGACACCCCTGCTTTTCATTGGGGGGATGGTGCATCGTCTGCCAAGTCTTTTGCTTTCGTAGTGAGTGATTTTCGTGTGCAAGTTCGGTACTAGTCCCTCTAGGATTTTCCAGGTGTATATAATCATGTATCTCTCCCTCCTGCGTTCCAGGGAATACAGGTTTAGAAACCTCAAGCGCTCCCAGTACTCACTTATATGTGGTTGCAGGGGTCGAGTCATAGCTCCTGGCCCCAAGTTAGATACATCTACACCTATAAAGAAACAAGCAGAATTATTTAAAAAATACGAAAGTGGCAAAACTATTTTGTAAACTTACTGGAAATATCCCATGGTTATATCGAGCATTCTCAGTAGGCGAAATCTAGCAATTATTACTGCATAATAAACCATGGAATGGGTGGGGATTGAACCCACAGCACGGAATTGAACCCTTGGGTTCAATTCCTGCCTGTTTCATGGTTTAATGACTCACGAAATTGTAATGACATGATTGAAAACAGTAGCTAATGCGTCGGTCTGGAGTTTTGAGACTCTATGATCGCAGGTTCTAACCCCACCCGTGGTATGGTTTGTTTCATGGTTTGTTTGCATTTGTGTTACTGCATAATACTTATTCAGTTTCACATTTAATATGAGATTATATTTGGTGACTGTCAAAGTCAAATTTTTATTTATTTTTATGCAGTACAGAGATTATGTAGTTTATACATGTGTTAATAAAAAATTATTAGACAAAAGAAAGCCACTAGCATGTAACGCATTTTGTGAAAGCTAATTATAATGCTTAAAGACTGCCGTTTTAGTCATTCTACCTTGGTGGGACATGGTCCTTTGATGATTATGAGTATTGATTATAATAATTAAAATTACTTTAAAAGTATTTAAAATCTTACAACTGCCCAATTGCAGTATGAACATGTGTAACATAATCATCCTTTGCATTACAGCCTCTCCACACTGAGCGATGTACTACTCGTTTACCGACCATTCGGACTTATGACCAGCTCTCCAACCAGTACACATAGCTAATAATGTATATTAGAGCTCATTTCCTCTTCTCTATTTATTATAGTATACAGTACACTACTGTATAAATATTTTAAAATATACTAGAAATGTTATAAATGGTGCAAATGTGACATTAAAAAAATATCTAAAGGTAGTTGGCACAAACCCACTACCAGTATAGTACAGTCTCTCCTCACTTAACGACAGAGTTCCTTTCCTAAGACCTTGTCGGTAAACAAATTTGTCGGTAAGTGAGGAGCATACTATACGTAATGGTAGTAGGTTTGTGTCAACCGTCTTTGATATTGTTTTAACCCTTTCAGGGTCCAAGGCCAAAATCTGAAGTGGTGCCCCAGTGTCCAAGAATTTTCAAAAAAAAAAATTGTTATTTTTTCTTATGAAATGGTAGAGAATCTTTTTGTGAATGTAATAAAACAAAAAGTACGAAATTTGATGGAAAATTGACGAAATTATGCTCTCGTGAATTTTGATGTGTCAGCGATATTTACGAATTGGCGATTTTGCCGACTTTGACTCCCATTTTAGGCCAATTACATTATTCCAGTCGACCAAATTCTCAGCTATTTCACTAGTATTACTTCTATTCTATCGATTGAGCACAAGAAATCGCCAAGTCAACTGTTTCAACTACAAAATAAAGTGACCGGAAATTGGTAATTTGGCCAATTTAACACAAGGTTCAAAATATTCCAATTTCAAAATAGGGTCCAGAATAAACAATGTAGGTATCCCTGGCACTAAACTAACATTTCCTCTGTTCATTAGTTATGTTTTGAGGCTTTACAAATAAATTCCATTTTGATTTTTTATTCACATAATGAATTTTTATTCACACCAAAAAATAGAAGATTTACTGTTATGCAATATTGTAATAATTGTATAAATATCATCACCACATTTGTGAATGTATATTAGACCCACCAGCTGGCGTGTATTAGACGTGTGAGGTCGTTTGTTTACTCTTGAACATCGGCAAAAATTTAACATTTCCGCCACTTTGAGCTCAATTTCAAGCCATTTCCAGTGCTAACACCAATCAAAATTATCTCTATTTCTGTAATATGTCTTCCATTCTATCAAATGAGACCAAGAAATCACAAATATAACTATAAAAAACATACGAAAAACACTGCAAAGTCGCTGTTTTAATCGAAAATCATGGTCTCAGTTTTTTTTTCTCTCATTATACACAGTGCGCTGCAGGATTTGTTTTATGTGGTGCACACATACCACATAGATGTATTCTCTCATATCTAGGCCCAAATTTACCACTCACAGTTTATCAGAGTGAGCTGAGCTCATGACGTAGATCTACGGTTTGGACCCTGAACGTAAAGCCGTAGATCTACGGGACGGACCCTGAAAGGGTTAATGTCACCTTTGCACCATTTATAGCATTTCTGGTATATTTTTAAATGTTGATACAGTAGTGTACTGTATATTGCAATAAACAGAATAGAGGAAATCAGCGCTAACATATACATGTATTATTTAGGTATGAATACTGACCAAAGAGCCCGTCATAAGTCCAAGTCGTTGGTAAGTGAGTACGTCGCTAAATGAGGAGAGGCTGTATGCTCCTCGCTGAACGACCAATTCACTTACCAACCTACTCTTAGGAACTGAATCCCGAGGTTAAGTGAGGAGAGGCTGTATTCTGTTCTATGCAAGCAACTTATCTGTAAGTTGAAAACTGTCGAAGTTGAAAAATCATGAATGCAACTTGTGTTGAAGTTGAAAAAACAAGACTGCAACTCGTGTCAAAGTCAAAAAATAAAAAATGCAACTTGTGTCAAAGTAGAAAAATCGAGAATGCAGCTCTTGTCTTAAATTGAAACACTGCAAGTGCAACTCATGTCTTAACCTGAAGAATCACGAATGCAACCCATATCTTAAGGTGTGGAGTTAATAAAAGTATTAGTCAGAGGGCAGAAGAGGGGTTGTTGGGGTGGTTTGGTCATTTAGAGAGAATGGATCACAGTAGAATGACATGGAAAGCATATAAATCTATAGGGGAAGGAAGGCGGGGTAGGGGTCGTCCTCGAAAGGGTTGGAGAGAGGGGGTAAAGGAGGTTTTGTGGGTAAGGGGCTTGGACTTCCAGCAAGCGTGCGTGAGCGTGTTAGATAGGAGTGAATGGAGACGAATGGTACTTGGGACCTGACGATCTGTTGGAGTGTGAGCAGGGTAATATTTAGTGAAGGGATTCAGGGAAACCGGTTATTTTCATATAGTCGGACTTGAGTCCTGGAAATGGGAAGTACAATGCCTGCACTTTAAAGGAGGGGTTTGGGATATTGGCAGTTTGGAGGGATATGTTGTGTATCTTTATATGTTTATGCTTCTAGACTGTTGTATTCTGAGCACCTCTGCAAAAACAGTGATAATGTGCGAGTGTGGTGAAAGTGTTGAATGATGATGAAAGTATTTTCTTTTTGGGGATTTTCTTTCTTTTTTGGGTCACCCTGCCTCGGTGGGAGACGGCCGACTTGTTGAAAAAAAAAAAAAAAAAAAAATCTTAAGTTGAAAAATTAGGAACTCGTCTCATTTGAACTTCGAAAACTTCCTTTTATAAATGAAAGCATTATGTCTACGAAGACAAATCTTGGCTATCAAATTCATTACTTGGCAATATTGTTTGATGCAAAGCACAAAATATGAATGAATTAACTCATGCATTTTAAAAATATATTAGCTTTTATTGTAACATGTCTGATTTAATGAATGAATATATTTGATGCAATAAATTTTTCTTGTAGTGGCTTACTGTTTTTGTATATTGATAAATCTTGGGATAATAAAGTATTATTAATAATACTAATAATGCAGTAATAATAATAATAATTCATTAATAATAATAATAATACATTTAATAAAGAGAGAGGTTAAGAGAGTGGTGAAGCAATGTAAAAAGAGAGCAAATGAGAGAGTGGGTGAGATGTTATCAACAAATTTTGTTGAAAATAAGAAAAAGTTTTGGAGTGAGATTAACAAGTTAAGGAAGCCTAGAGAACAAATGGATTTGTCAGTTAAAAATAGGAGAGGAGAGTTATTAAATGGAGAGTTAGAGGTATTGGGAAGATGGAGGGAATATTTTGAGGAATTGTTAAATGTTGATGAAGATAGGGAAGCTGTGATTTCGTGTATAGGGCAAGGAGGAATAACATCTTGTAGGAGTGAGGAAGAGCCAGTTGTGAGTGTGGGGGAAGTTCGTGAGGCAGTAGGTAAAATGAAAGGGGTAAGGCAGCCGGGATTGATGGGATAAAGATAGAAATGTTAAAAGCAGGTGGGGATATAGTTTTGGAGTGGTTGGTGCAATTATTTAATAAATGTATGGAAGAGGGTAAGGTACCTAGGGATTGGCAGAGAGCATGCATAGTTCCTTTGTATAAAGGCAAAGGGGACAAAAGAGAGTGCAAAAATTATAGGGGGATAAGTCTGCTGAGTATACCTGGTAAAGTGTATGGTAGAGTTATTATTGAAAGAATTAAGAGTAAGGCGGAGAATAGGATAGCAGATGAACAAGGAGGCTTTAGGAAAGGTAGGGGGTGTGTGGACCAGGTGTTTACAGTGAAACATATAAGTGAACAGTATTTAGATAAGGCTAAAGAGGTCTTTGTGGCATTTATGGATTTGGAAAAGGCGTATGACAGGGTGGATAGGGGGGCAATGTGGCAGATGTTGCAAGTGTATGGTGTAGGAGGTAGGTTACTGAAAGCAGTGAAGAGTTTTTACGAGGATAGTGAGGCTCAAGTTAGAGTATGTAGGAAAGAGGGAAATTATTTCCCAGTAAAAGTAGGCCTTAGACAAGGATGTGTGATGTCACCGTGGTTGTTTAATATATTTATAGATGGGGTTGTAAGAGAAGTAAATGCGAGGGTCTTGACAAGAGGCGTGGAGTTAAAAGATAAAGAATCACACACAAAGTGGGAGTTGTCACAGCTGCTCTTTGCTGATGACACTGTGCTCTTGGGAGATTCTGAAGAGAAGTTGCAGAGATTGGTGGATGAATTTGGTAGGGTGTGCAAAAGAAGAAAATTAAAGGTGAATACAGGAAAGAGTAAGGTTATGAGGATAACAAAAAGATTAGGTGATGAAAGATTGAATATCAGATTGGAGGGAGAGAGTATGGAGGAGGTGAATGTATTCAGATATTTGGGAGTGGACGTGTCAGCGGATGGGTCTATGAAAGATGAGGTGAATCATAGAATTGATGAGGGAAAAAGAGTGAGTGGTGCACTTAGGAGTCTGTGGAGACAAAGAACTTTGTCCTTGGAGGCAAAGAGGGGAATGTATGAGAGTACAGTGGACCCCCGGTTAACGATATTTTTTCACTCCATAAGTATGTTCAGGTGCCAGTACTGACCGAATTTATTCCCATAAGGAATATTGTGAAGTAGAGTAGTCCATTTCAGACCCCCAAACATACACGTACAAACGCACTTACATAAATACACTTACATAATTGGTCGCATTCGGAGGTGATCGTTATGCGGGGGTCCACTGTATAGTTTTACCAACGCTCTTATATGGGTGTGAAGCATGGGTGATGAATGTTGCAGCGAGGAGAAGGCTGGAGGCAGTGGAGATGTCATGTCTGAGGGCAATGTGTGGTGTGAATATAATGCAGAGAATTCGTAGTTTGGAAGTTAGGAGGAGGTGCAGGATTACCAAAACTGTTGTCCAGAGGACTGAGGAAGGGTTGCTGAGGTGGTTCGGACATGTAGAGAGAATGGAGCGAAACAGAGTGACTTCAAGAGTGTATCAGTCTGTAGTGGAAGGAAGGCGGGGTAGGGGTCGGCCTAGGAAAGGTTGGAGGGAGGGGGTAAAGGAGGTTTTGTGTGCGAGGGGCTTGGACTTCCAGCAGGCATGCGTGAGCGTGTTTGATAGGAGTGAATGGAGACAAATGGTTTTTAATACTTGATGTGCTGTTGGAGTGTGAGCAAAGTAACATTTATGAAGGGGTTCAGGGAAACCGGCAGGCCGGACTTGAGTCCTGGAGATGGGAAGTACAGTGCCTGCACTCTGAAGGAGGGGGTGTTAATGTTGCAGTTTAAAAACTGTAGTGTAAAGCACCCTTCTGGCAAGACAGTGATGGAGTGAATGATGGTAAAAGTTTTTCTTTTTCGGGCCACCCTGCCTTGGTGGGAATCGGCCAGTGTGATAATAAAAATAAAATAATAATAATGCAGTAATAATAATAATAATAATAGTAGAATAGTGCAATAATAATAATAATATGTAATAATATAATAATAATGCAGTAATAATAATAATAATAATAATAATAATAATAATAATAATAATAATGATTCTTTAAGATAATTCTTGTAGCCCTGTTATCCAACCAGATTGCTACCCCTGAACACCTCCTCTGTAAAATTTCTGCAGTTGGCCCTGGATGAGGCTCATCCAAGTTAGTTGAAAGTTAAGAGCCAGAACCAAGAGCTGGAGCCCTTCATCCCTCTCTCCCCACAAACTCAAAATGGAAATTACACATATCCACTCACAAAACCATTGATGTATGATTATTATTATTTTCGTGTTAAGTGCTCAACCCATGTGGGTCATTCAGTGCAAGATGTGGTGGAGGCTTGATCCTCCGTCTGCTGAGCACGAGACAGATGTGCTTCCTATTTGTACTGACTATTTGTGCTTTCTATTTGTACTTATTTTTATTGCTTTTATGTACTACTTATTTGTACTTCCTATCTGTAATTTCTGTATGAACAAAAATGATAACAAGTACATATTCTCATAAAGGTGCTTCGCCCTTTATTTTCTCCATTTGACAGCATGTAAAAAAAACGTGGATCTATGTTCGGAGTGCTACGCATGTGAACGTAGATCTACGTTTGGACAGTTTAAGGGTTAAAACTCTTTTTTTTTCAACGTGCTGGCCACCTCCCACTGACGCACAGTGGCCCCCCCCAAAAAAAAAGAACGCTTTCACCATCATTCACACTATCACTTTTTATTTATTTTATAATATTTTTCAGGGTGTTCCGGATGTCAACGCATACACCGTGACCAGTTATAACTTCTACCTGCGACCCCACTCATGTGTATCGTTTGATCCCACATTTATGTGCCAGTCCTCGAGTCTAGAGTTTCTACAAAAATATAAGTTTGACTTCAATAAGGTATTTAGTCTTTGCATTAGTAATTATGGTATTTTTGCATATGAATTTTTTTTATTTAATTTTGTCTTTCATGGACCTAATACTCAACATGCTTAGACCTTCTGTCTTTATTCTTTTCTGTTTAATAAATTTTGCATTTAACAGATTCTTTTTATTCTTCTAAGTAATTTTTTGGCTCAAATGCAATTTTAGCTTCAATGAGGTAGAGTACAGTGGTCATTCTCAAGGTTCTTGATTTTTTGTAAGAATGTTCTGTAATTTTTTTTTACATTTGTGGTAAGTTACAGTCTTTTGTAATATGACTGGTATTAACAAGAACAGGGATAATATTAGATGCAAGTTACATAGTTACATAGATTATTATCATACATAGTAGCATATGTGTAGAGAACCTGGGATTACCCAAACAAGTCAGAGACTCATTTCCATTGGGGTCCTTTAGACAGGGTTTCAGGATTTGTTTGACTTAATAAATTGTTGTGAGGATTACATTAAGGTAAGGAGGCATTTTTTAACAGTAGTTCTGAAGTAGTTGGCAGACAGGGGACTCTCTGTAGTTCTGAACTAGTTGGCAGACAGGGGACTCTCTGCCTGAAGATTCAAGAGGTTCCCTGGCTGCCCACCACTTCAAAGCTATTGTTAAGAAACTCAGCTTAATGTGGTCCACTACACATTCATGAATGTGTAGTTGTATGCACATCGATCTGAGTTTTCTTCTGTTTTCTTAATATTTGTTCTTATCTAGGTAATAGGCTGGTAGACAGCAACTGCCCAGGGAGGTACTACCATCCTGCCAGTTGAGTGTAAAGCAAAAGCCTGTAATTGTTTTACATGATGATAGGATTGCTGGTGTCTTTTATCTGTCTCATAAACACGCAAGATTTCAGGTACATCTTGCTACTTCTATTTAGACTTAGGTCACACCACACATGCATGTACAAGCATATATATACACACCCCTCTGAGTTTTCTTCTATTTTCTTACTAGTTCTTCTTGTTTTTTCCTTTTATCTCCATGGGGAAGTGGAACAGAATTCCTCCTCCGTAAGCCATGCATGTTGTCAGAGGCGACTAAAATGCCGGGAGCAAGGGGCTAGTAACCCCCTTCTCCTGGATATATTACTACATTTTAAAGGAGAAACTTTGGCTTTTTCTTTTGGGCCGCCCTTCCTCAGTGGGATACAGCTGGTTTGTTGAAAGAAGAAGAAGTCCCTCTAGAATTAAGTTAAAGCTGTCTTTAAATGCAAATAATCCACAGAAGTGACAAGAAAAAGAAAAACTTTTTAATTTTTGGGTTGTCCTGAACTTTTAGTGTCATGACTGCAAAGCTAGAAGAAAGTTGGAATTTTGTAACAAGGTAGTAATTTTTTTTTTTTCCATTTTTTCACTCTTGGCTGTGATGTGTAAATGGTTCTAAATGGAGCAGTACATTGTCTGGTTTTCTTTTCTAATTTGTGGGCTAATTGTCAGTGTGAGAATTAGACACGTGGGCATCATCTGGGTATCTTTATTTGTAGACATCTACAAATGAAGATACCCAGATGTTGCACATGTTTGATTCCTCATCTTGTCGGTATTGTATACCATTAAAGTGCAGTTGTCAGTTGATACAATAATTTTGTCCCCGCAGTGGTTGTATTATGGAGTGCCTTGTATGAACTCTGATGAAGCTGAAGAACTTCGAGGTGAATTATCATCTATTGTGAAAGGAAATAAAGTCTTTAGAATTCCTTATGAGGTAAGTGTTTTGTCATTACATAAATTGAGGATCGGAGAATGGGAATGTTTTGCAAAATTTGCCTTCATCAGTTGGATCATGAAACTCTTTTGTTGTATCAGTCAACTCTCATACACTTCAGGTGTTGTGTGGAAAAAGACTTATGTACAGTTCAGGATGAAATGCTTCCTTTAGTAAGTATCCAGAACTGTAAAGTGTCTTTTTTCACATCTTGTTGGTATCACCATACCATTTCTCACTTCAGGTATTGAAGACCTGCCACAGGATTTTTGGAGTGCACTCTGTATTATGCTTTTAATTCATCCATGTCTAACAAAACGTTTATCTTATTGGTGTATATCTTTTCTGTTACTGTTACACGAGATCCTGTTTACGTTTACTTTAACATCGCATAGTACCCCTTGTCATCGTATTCTCTACAGGGGTGAGTCAAAGGGATATTAGGAAGTAGTACTTCGTAAGCTTCAGGGAAGTAGGGAAGTGCTGTGAATGGCATGTGGAAATGGTGATGGCAAACTTATTGTAATACAAAATTTTAAGAGGTTGTATGGGATGGCTCAAGATGATGGAAAACAATAATGCTTTCAGTGAAGCTAAAAGGAGGAGGCCAGGAGCCAGGACTCTATCTCCATCCCAAACAAATTCTTAAGTTCAGTTGTTTACTTCACCTCTCAGTTGTGCACCTTCCCTGGTATTACGATTTTTTTGTGGGACATTAGTCAGGATTAGCCTTAATGCCTGGTATGGTATAATTTTTTTATCAACACATTGGCCGATTCCCACCAAGGCAGGGTGACTCGAAAAGAAGAAACACTTTCATCATCATTCGCTCCATTACTGTCTTGCTAGAGATGCACCTGCACTACTGTTAAAAAAAAAACTGCATCACATCAACACCCCTCCTTCAGAGTGCAGAGATTGTACTTCCCACCTCCAGGACTCAAGTCCAGCTAACCAGTTTTTCTGAATCCATTCATAAGTGTTACTTTGGTCACACTCCAACAGCACATCGAGCCATAAATGCCATTTGTCTCCACTCGCTCATATCTAACACGCTCACTCACGCCTGCTGGAAGTCCAAGCCCCTCTCATACAAAACCTTCTTTACCCTCTCCCTCCAGCATTTCCTAGGTATTTAATTGCTACTTCGGAGCAATAGGTAGCAATAACCTAATTGTTTACACCCTCAAAATGATTCACGATTGAGGTCACAATTAGGTCAGACTTGATAAGAATAAGAAGTTTACTTCAGACATTTGGGTATACATGCCCAAAGCCACTTTATATGCAGACCATTTCGGGCAAAAGATTAACTTAAGATTAATAAGGCAATAACTATTTGTGTAATTTTGTACATATAGTCACTTAGGTGAGTGTAATTTTAAATTTAGGAGTTTACAATAAATACAAGAAAACTGAATATTTTATTAGTTCCTGGTATATGTTTTTATGTAACTAACTGATACTGGAAGTCGTATTGACCTTTGTTTTTTGGTTCTTGTTTAACCCGTAAACGGTCCAAGCAGATCTACGTTCAGATGCGTAGCGCTACAAAAGTAGATCTACGTTTTTTTTACATATTTTCAAATATAACAGAAAAAAAGTAGATCAAAGTTTTTTTTACACATTTTCAAATGTAAAAAAACAAAAAGAAGATCTACTTTTTTTACATACTTTCAAATGTTGAAAAAACATATATACACGTTTGGACCGTTTACGGGTTAAATGGTGAAGATAAAGATTTTATTTCTTTGCAAAGGTTACAATGTGTAGGTACAATTTTGATTTGTTAAGTACAGAGAAAGTCACTTTCATGCCAGAGCATTTTGGGCAGAAGAATCCTGGTACATAATAACTTAAATTTAGACAAGATAAGAGTGGTTATTTTCATATAGTCGGACTTGAGTCCTGGAAATGGGAAGTACAATGCCTGCACTTTAACCCTTTGAGGGTTTTCGTCGTACTAGTACGTTTTACGCGTAGGGGTTTTTGACGTACTAGTACTCATAAATTCTAGCGGCCTCAAATCTAGTGGGAGAAAGCTGGTAGGCCTTCATATGAAAGAATGGGTCTATGTGGTCAGTGTGCACAGTCTAAAAAAAATCCTGCAGCACACAGTGCATAATGAGAAAAAAAAAACTTTGACCATTTTTTTTTAATAAATCAGCGACTTTGCAGTGTATTTTCGTATGGTATTTATTGTTGTATTCTAGTTTTCTTGGTCTCATTTTATAGAATGGAAGACATATTACAGAAATTGAGATGATTTTGACTGGTTTTACAAAGAAAGGTGCCTTGAAATTGAGCTCAAAGTAGCAGAAATGTTCGATTTTTACCAAACTTCAAAAGTAAACAAATCGTGCCAAGCGTGCAATACACGTCAACTGGTGAGTCTAATATTCTTTCACAAGTGCACCAATAATATTTATACCATTTTTTACACTAATGCAGTAGTCTGCATAACAGTAAATCTTATATTTTTTGTGAAAATAAAAATTCAAAGTGGAAAGCAAAAGAATATAAGAGGGGACTTGAGACATGACTAATGACTAGAGGAAATGTCATTTTAGTGCCAGGAATGTCTTTCTTGTTTATTCTGGACCCTATTCCGAAATTGGCATCTTTTGAAATTTGTGTGAAATTGGCAAAATTGCTAAATTCTGACCACTGTACTGGATAGTTGAATTTCATAAATGAGTGGTTTCTTGCATCCATTCGATAGAAAAAATGGAGTTCTAGCGAAATATTCATGTTTTTTGTCGACTAGTACAGCGAAATTGGCCGAAAATGGGGCTCAAAGTGGGCAAAATCGCCGATGCGTAAACATCGCCGAGACCGCTAACTTTGCGAGAGCATAATTCCGTAAGTTTTCTATCAAATTTCAAACTTTTGGTGTCTTTATGATCGGGAAAAGATTCTCTATCTTTTCATAAGAGAAAATAATTTTTTTTTTTTTTTAAATTTGGCCGACCCTGAGAACGAGTTTCGGAGAGGGCCTGTCGACCCTCAAAGAGTTAAAGGAGGGGTTTGGGATATTGGCAGTTTGGAGGGATATGTTGTGTATCTTTATATGTGTATGCTTCTAGACTGTTGTATTCTGAGCACCTCTGCAAAAACAGTGATAATGTGCGAGTGTGGTGAAGGTGTTGAATGATGATGAAAGTATTTTCTTTTTGGGGATTTTCTTTCTTTTTTGGGTCACCCTGCCTCGGTGGGAGACGGCCGACTTGTTGAAAAAAAAAAAAAAAAGAGTGGTTAACTTTTTAATAAATATTTAATCTTAATAATAATGCAAGGTAGTCAAGGTGAAGGCTTATAAGAATAATTATCTTGAAGTTGCACAAAATATAACCAGTATTACAATTAATGGTTGAAACAATAATATTTTACGAATTGGCAGGTGTTTATGGTTAGTTATGTATAAGCTCAACACTGAAGGTAGTAGACTGGTAGACAGCATCCATCCAGGGAGGTGCTGTGGTTCAGTAATGATTGTATAGCAGAAGTCTGGTAAAATATTTTACTGTGTCACGATTGTTTGTCTTTTCTTTCTGTGTCATGCGCATTTAAGATGAGTAAATCTGTCATACTTTTACTTTGATTCAGTACAGTGGACCCCTGCTTAATGATCACCTCCCAATGTGACCAATTATGTAAGTGTATTTATGTAAGTGCGTTTGTACGTGTATGTTTGGGGGTCTGAAATGGACTAATCTACTTCACAATATTCTTTATGGGCACAAATTTGGTCAGTACTGGCACCTGAACATACTTCTGGAATGAAAAAATATCGTTAACCGGGGGTCCACTGTATATTCTTATTGTTGCAGTTCTTAATACTTGCTATTTCTGTAATATTACCTTTCCAGTTTAGAAGACTTGGTTTGAAAGGGGGCCTGGGTTGTTGATCCCCTGGCCCAGAACCATCAACAGAAAATAGACTTACCTGGAGTATACCTGGAGGATGCTCCAGGGGTCAATGCCCTCACGACCTGGTCCATGACCAGGCCTCGCAGTGGCTTCATTAGTAATGAAAAATGAAAGGCACAATACTGTTTGAGAAAAAAATTACTATTAACCTACTCTTTAGAGAGGAAGCGGTAAATGGAACTTATTGTACTGTGGACCATTATCAGGTTGGGCTTTGCATCTTTATAGATGATATTGTTACATGACTGAAGATAATTTAGAAAGTTTGTAAATAAAATTATTATCAGGGGGCAAAAGATGCAGACTGATTTCTTTGCTAGGTGAATGTTAAATTTATGAAGGGATTCAAGGAAACCAGTTAGCTGGATTTGAGTCCTGGAGGTTGGAAGTACAATGCCAGCACCAAAAAGAGGGGTGGAGATGTTGAAGTTTTGAGGGCCATCTCAAAATATCAGCATCCAGTGCAGTAATGATAGTTCTATGGAGGCGATCCTTAGGGTTTATTTGTACAAAAGTACAGAGCAGTGTGTTAGATGCTAGCCCTGCCAGGCCAATGGCCTGACAAGAGAGTCTTGTAAGAGCATCATTCTGTTGCTAGGTTGTCTGGAGCGAGAATGAACCAGATGCAGTGTCTGGTGGAGTGAGCTGTAGGTAGAACTACGCCCATGCCAGGCGGCATCATTAGGCCTAGCGGCCATGATACGAAACAGAAGCCGACAGTGGTTATAAAACTGAAATGTGATATCAACATGTTCTGGCAAGATAGCAATTGAATGATTGATGATGAATGTGTTTCCTCTGTTTTGAGTCCCTCTACCTCTGATTGATGGCCAGTATTAAATTTTAAGCTTATTGACAAAATTAAGATTCCTGAAAATCCTTGCAAACAAAAAATGTCAGATATCTTTAGCATTTTTGCTCACTTAGTGAGTTTTATAGATACAGGACCAGTTGAGTACCATAGGGGAGTGGGCAGCAGCTGCCAGTGATGGAGACACAACTACTCCCTCCATCAGCCATGATGTTACCTCCCAGGTGCTACTAGTGACCAGCATACGCAACAGGTTTACAGACCTCTGGGCTGCTCTAGACAATGGACAGGTGAGTATTAAGGTAAATATGATTGCAAGTAAGCAGTTTATCTTCCTAATTGAACAAATTTCTTAAGGAAGTGGCAGACCAGTTGGGGTGTAATGGCTGCGTAGATTTGTGAGCCATGGTCAGCAATATGGATATAAACAGAACTGATATTTTTTGTTGTGAGTGATGGTGTAAGTGCTTCTTCTTTTTCGGGTTACCCTACCTTGGTGGGAGAAGGCCGGCGAGTTAAATGAGCACATTCTGTTTTTTTCTCCATGAGGAAGTGGAACAGAATTCTTCCTCTGTAAGTCATGCGTGTCGTAAGAGGCGACTAAAATGACAGGAGCAAAGGACTAGTAATCCCTTCTCCTGTATACATTATTACGTTAAAAAGAGAAACTTTTGTTTTTATTTTTGAGCCACCCTGCCTAGGTGGGATAGAGCCAGTTTGCTGAAAGAAGAATATTTTATTTTTTCATAATTTCTAATCAAATTTACTCAGATCTACATTTTAAGGGAAAAATTAGTAAGCGATTCCTCTCTGAACATCAAAAATGTTAGTACTATTTTTTTCCCGGTAGATTTACATATAGAGTATTTTTGTTGTATTACTAGTGAAGTACATTTCTTGTCCTATATTGGGCATATATTGGGTAGAAAGTTATGAAATGCAGTATAAGAATGCTTCTTAATTGGCCATTATTTTCTGCGGGAAATGGTCTTACTTCCTCTTTAGAGACGGGTAAAATATCTGAGCTTGAAAATATATTGAGAATTTTTTTTGCTTGCTCTCAATATAAATTCCTTGATTACAGTTTAAACTGCCTCACCTACCTGAAAATGGTCAGAATGTTCAATCTGGAATAGGGCAGTTGATTGAAAAATTAGATGAATGAGAGAGAGATGATTGAATATACAAAATAATCCAAGGAAATGTAGATGTACAGTAACTGGAGTTAGAGAATACACAAATAACCCGCACATAGCAGAAACTTTTGATGATGTTTCAGTCTGATCTGGATCATTAACTAGTTAATTGTCCAAGTTAACTAGTAAATGGTCAAAGTTAACTAGTTAATGTCAAAGTTAACTAGAAAATGGTCAAATTTAACTAGTAAATGGTCGAAGTTAACTAGTAAATGGTCGAAGTTAACCAGTAAATGGCTGAAGTTAACTAGTAAATGGTCAAAGTTAACCACTAAATGGTTGAAGTTAACTAGGTAATGGTCAAAGTTAACTAGTAAATGGTCAAAGTTAACTAGTTAATGGTCAAAATGGGACCAAAACATCATTATAAGTTTCATTATGCTTGGTGCGGGTTATTTGTGTTTTGTTCCGGTCGTGGTATTGTGACTTTTTGTTCTCTAGAGAACACTATCAGAATCTTGGGACAAAGGTAGAAGTAGCAGAAAAATATCTGATAAGATGAATTGTGCTAGTTTTAAGAGCCTTTGTGCTGCAAGCAGCAATAACTTGACTGATCAAGCAGTCACTAGGTGCTTTGCCTGAAGCTGGACTGTAAAGAGGAGAAAAAGAAATCTCAGAACTGGGAGCCTGTATTAGACTTCCTGTCACGAGGAGAAAATATCTGACCAACTGACCAGTCAGACTGCAGGAGCAGTGACCCCTTGGGACCTTTAAAAGATCAGCAACAGATTAATCCAAACTCACTTGCCATGGGCTCTGGTGGCCTGGTGGTTAACGCTCTCGCTTCACACGGTGAGGGCCTGGGTTCGATTCCCAGCCAGAGTAGAAACATTGGACGTGTTTCTTTCCACCTGTTGTCTATGTTCCCCATCAGTAAAATGGGTACCTGGGTGTTAGTCGACTGGTGTGGGTCGCATCCTGGGACACTGACCTAAGGAGGCCTGGTCACAGACCGGGCCGCGGGGGCGTTGACCCCCGGAACTCTCTCCAGATAAACTCTCCAGATGGGCTGAACCCATGGCAGGTATGTTTTAGGACTCAGTTGCCATGAGTTCAGACCCCATCTGTTCTGTGATTTGATTAATCCAAATAAGACCATAAAAGGATACCTTTTATGGTTAATGTAAACATAATTTAAATTTTTTGCCTATAAGCTGAAGAATATGCGTATCATAAGAGGTGACTAAAATATACTGGGAGCAAGGGGCTAGTAACCCCTTCTTCTGTATACATTACTAAATTTAAAAGGAGAAACTTTTGTTTTTCCTTTTAGGTCACCCTGCCTCGGTGGGATGCAGCCGGTTCATTGAAAAAAAAAAAAGTTGAAGAATCTACGCAATAGTTGAATTTTTTTTCTATGGGTTGAAGAATCTAAAGTTATCATGTTACTCCGTCATCATGTTGAGCAATGTAAAGTTGAATTCAATTTTATCTACAGGTCCTAGTTCAAAAAGTGTCGTCCTGTGAACGTGAAAGACTTGAGGCAAAAGACCCTGAAGGCACAGAGTTTATAGACTCCATTGTGACCAACATGCTGGGATTTACCACCATTTTCCGCTGTTTAGCAGATCATCATAAGCCTCTTGTTCTCCACAATTGCCTCCTGGATCTTATGTTGATATACAAGCAGGTATGAGACTCAGTCTTTGCATTAGGTACTCCTAGAAGATACTTTATGCATTTTCCTATTTTCATAACCGCATCAGAGGTTTTCCCGCACCTCCTGTTCTCTGAAGGACAGGTGGGGATGTTAGCAATTTTGAAATGTAGCATTGGTGCCCCTCTGGCAAGACAGTGATGGAGTGAGTGATGGTGAAAGGGTTTCTTCTTTTTTGGGTCACCCTGCCTCACTAGGAGACAGCCAGTGTGTTGAAAAAAAAATCAGATGTTTCCTACCAAAGTAGGTTGATTCAAGAGAAAGAAACGCATTTACCATCGCTAATTCATTAGTTTAGGCTTTTGTTGATATTAATTTTCATGTTTTCTGGACAATAGCTTGAGAATATCATAGGAAATTTGCTGCTAACATGAAACATTCAGTTATTGTCAAAATAAAAGGTAGCAATCTAGAATTTGAATTTGAATTATTTACAAATGAAATTCAGTATTATGACCCAACATACTGATCTATTTTTTCAAAATGTGACTTTCAGTTCCATCAGAACCTGCCTCCATCATACGAAGTTTTTAAGTCCAACTTGCACGAGATGTTTCCTCTCATCTACGACACAAAGTTCATTGCTACGGAACTTAAATACTTTTATAAAGAAAAGAATGACCAAGGTACTTCTAGTTTAAAATATAATTATTATTTTTTTTTGCCTTAATTGGTTGCTATTTATGTCCTGCCAAGCCATGCTATACTTTCTTTCTTTCTTTCAACACACCGGCCATATCCCACCGAGGCGGGGTGGCTCAAAAGGAAAAATGAAAGCTTCTCCTTTCAAATTTAGTAATATATACAGGAGAAGGAGTTACTAGCCCCTTGCTCCCGGCATTTCAGTTGCCTCTTAAGACACGCATGGCTTACAGAGGAAGAATTCTGTTCCACTTCCCCATGGAGATAAGAGGAAATAAACAAGAACAAGAACTAGAAAGAAAATAGCAGAAAATCCAGAGGGGTGTGTCTTTCTTTCTTTCAACACACCGGCCGTATCCCACCAAGGCGGGGTGGCCCAAAAAGAAAAACGAAAGTTTCTCTCTTAAATTTAGTAATTTATACGGGAGAAGGGGTTACTAGCCCCTTGCTCCCGGCATTTTAATTGCCTCTTACAACACGCATGGCTTACGGAGGAAGAATTCTGTTCCACTTCCCCATGGAGATAAGAGGCAATAAACAAGAACAAGAATTAGAAAGAAAATAGAAGAATACCCAGAGGGGTGTGTATATATATGCTTGTACATGTATGTGTAGTGTGACCTAAGTGTAAGTAGAAGTAGCAAAACGTACCTGAAATCTTGCATGTTTATGAGACAGACAAAAGACTCCAGCAATCCTACCATCATGTAAAACAACTACAGGCTTTTGTTTCACACTCACTTGGCAGAACAGTAGTATCTCCCTGGGTGGTTGCTGTCTACCAACCTACTACCTAGGATGCTATACCTTATTACACTAAATCCTTGATACAGTAGGGCCCCGCTTATACAGCAGGTTAGATTCCAGGTTACTACCATAAAGCAAAATTTGCTGTAAAGTGAAACATATAATTTTTCCACTTTCAGACACATATTAAAGCCTGATAACATGTTTAAACTATTTTATATTAAGTGAGCAATAAAGCTAGGGCTAAAAAATGCATATACAGTACACACATTACTTCTTCTTTCTTTCAACACACCGGCCGTATCCCACCGAGGCGGGGCGGCCCACCGAGGTGGGGCGGCCCAAAAGGAAAAACGAAAGTTTCTCCTTTTACATTTAGTAATATATACAGGAGAAGAGGTTACTAGCCCCTTGCTCCTGGCATTTTAGTTGCCTCTTACAACACGCATGGCTTACGGAGGAAGAATTCTGTTCCACTTCCCCATGGAGATAAGAGGAAATAAACAAGAATAAGAACTAGAAAGAAAATAGAAGAAAACCCAGAGGGGTGTGTATATATGTGCTTGTACATGTATGTGTAGTGTGACCTAAGTGTAAGTAGAAGTAGCAAGACGTACCTGAAATCTTGCATGTTCATGAGACAGAAAAAAGGACACCAGCAATCCTACCATCATGTAAAACAATTACAGGCTTTCGTTTTACACACATTACTTACCTTAAAATATTTTTGTACCTAGCTTGTAATGAGTGGTGAATATATTTATTGTAGAAAATCTAAATAAATGAAGAATGATTATAATTGAAAACTGCTGTATTAGCGAAACACTGTAAAGTGGGGTCTGTCTGTATTATACACACCTCTCTATAATAGACTTCTAAAACAATTGACAAAATGAGCTGGGGAAAATGGTGCTTATAAGTCCTTTATTTTCAATGTTTATGTCAATATACAGTAAACCCTTGATTTTTTTTTTTTAAATAAACCAGCCGTATCCCACCAAAGCAGGCTGACCCAAAAAGAAAAGCAACGTCTTTATTTTTACATTTCGTAATTTATGCAGGAGAAGGGGTTACTAGCCCCTTGCTCCTAGCATTATAGTCGCCTCTTACGACACACATGGCTCACAGGGGAAGAATTCTTTTTATCTCTGTTAGCACTGGCAGCCTCCCCATACCTTACTACACTATGAATCCCACTTTTCTTTTTAAACCTATCAAACCAGCCCCTACTTGCCTTAAATTCATCACTTTCAACACTGTTTCCCAGGGTGTCTTACCTAAGATCACTATATAACTGCTTTGCTTTTTCACAAATTATTGTTTGAGAAACACTGTCATTGGCCAATTGATTTTTGTTAATCCACGGTAACAAAACTGTTTCCATTTCTTCAGTTATCTGTGACTTTTTTACAGCAAGAATTTTCACTCCTTTCACCACATCAGCCCCTTTTATTACTTCTTTATTTTTCAATATGGACAATATGGTGGATTTCACCATACCATATTGAGTGGCCAAGTATAACACGTGTTCCACTTTTCCACTTCGCAATGAGTTCTTTTTTCATAAATAAATAACAAAAAGGCACAATACCGTGACTGGAACGATACACAACTTTAATTGTTATTCCTCACTGTTTTCCTTTCAAGTTTGTTTGGATCACTGCTAATTTTTGGGGCCATGATTAATTATTTTCAATGAAAATATTTAAAAAGCACCACAGAATAGCAATGAAATACTGAAAAGTTTTACGGACCTTGTACAAACGATGCTTAACGAACGAAAACTGACGAGAAACTTAGCGTGTGATGCTTTGTTTTCGTAGGACTTCATCGAGATGGACCATTTTGTTTGAGTCAAATATCAGGGCAACATCCGAATATAGAGTGAAATTTTTCTCGAAAAAGTTGGGTGAATATTGAGTTTTACAAATATAGGGACACACAAATATTGAGGTTCCATTGTATTAAACTTAGCATTCAGATAATCTAACTTCACCCATACAGCTATAGAATGCAATGTAACTCTAAGTTCTAGTTTTGGTCTACCCAAAAATGCTTTGCATAGCTAAGCACTTTCCAAAATGTATAAAGTAAATGTTAGCTTATGTTGCAACAATTACTGCACAGGAGGGCCCCACTTTACAGCATTTCGCTAATGCAGCATTTTTTGTCATACCCGTTCTTCATTTATTCCGACTTTCTGCAATAAATACAGTATTCACCACTTGCTATAAGCCAAGGACGAAAATATTTTAAGGCAAGTAATGTGTGTACTGTGCGTATATGCATTTCTTAGGCCTAGCTCTATTGCTCACTTAATATATGATTGTGTAAACATGTTTATATGCGTTTGAAAGTGGGAAAAGGCTATGTTTCACCTTACGGTTAGTTTAGGTTTGTCAGGAAACAGGACAAGTGTTTCCTGATGTGGGGTCTCAGTTATATGATGACGCACAGTTGGAGTTTTTGGTCATCTGACTGCTGTATAAACAGGGCCCTCCTATATGTACTTTTTGAAATAAAAAATTATTTTCGGATTTTTTTTTTTTCAACAAACCATCTCTCACCGAGACAGGGTGACACAAAAAAAAAAAAAACACTTTTAAGAAGTTTTTCTTCTTTTTACACTTACTAATTTATACAGGAGAAAGGGTTATTAGCCCCTTGCTCCTGGCATTTTAGTCGCTTCTTACAACACACATGGCTTACGGAGGAAGAATTCTTTTCCACTTCCACTTGGAGATATTTTTATTTATTTATTATGTCAGCAATTTCACTGTCCCATTTCACATTCTTATTTATTTTCTTCAAGTGCTTACCTGTACTTGTAGAAACTGTTCTATATATTTCTATTAAATTTACTCTATACTGTGAATTATTTATTTACAAGGGATGATGAAGGACATTATTAATGGAAAGTGACTAGTATTTGCAAATATGGTACAGGTCCACATCCCTTTATCCGAAATTCTGAAATTCGAAAAGTTCCGAAAACCAAAGTTTTTTCGTGGAGTGTGGAGCATCAGTCATCTCCGTGCTGGGTCATGCCGCCACATGGCGGCGTTGAGAACCATTCTGAAATTTGAAATCTGAAATTCAAAACAATTCAGGCCCCAAAGGTTTCAGATAAAGGGATGTGCACCTGTAGTTACCTTGTGAGTTAGCATTCTAGATTATTTAATTTGAAGTGAATCATAATTAGTATTTGAAAGGTCTAATTAGCATTTGAAATGCCTAATTCATTTTTTCTTGATTGCAGTTAGGAGTTTGTTTAGCAATACCGGGCTGGTTGAGCTATCTTCATGCCTTAAGAGAGACGAGTCGGTCTTATACCTACCTACACTCTCGCATCATCCTCCTGACAACAAGTACAGTTAGTATATTGGTGGTAGTTTGCCAGTACAGTGGTACCTTGAGTTTCGAGCAGCTCCCAACTCGAACAATTATGTAAGTGTATTTTTGTAAGTGCTTTTGTAAGTGTATTTGTGGAGGGTCTGAAAAGGACTAATCTAATTTACATTATTCCTTATGGGAACAAATTCGTTTGGTATCGGCACTCGAACAGCCTTTTGGAACGAATTAAGTTCGTAACTCGAGGTACCACTGTATTTCGTTGGTTGTGAATTGTACCTCCACAATTCATAACTTTTCCACAATTTTGAAAGGAAATTTTAAAAGGCATTTTGGTCTATTCTGCACCATTACCAGAGGTGACTGTGTGTTGATCCTGGACCATTACCAGAGGTGACTGTGTTGATCCTGGACCATTACCAAAGGTGACTGTGTTGATCCTGGACCATTACCAAAAGTGACTGTGTGTTGATCCTGGACCATTACCAAAGGTGACTGTGTGTTGATCCTGCACCATTACCAAAGGTGACTGTGTGTTGATCCTGGACCATTACCAAAGGTGACTGTGTTGATCCTGGACCATTACCAAAAGTGACTGTGTTGATCCTGGACCATTACCAAAGGTGACTGTGTTGATCCTGGACCATTACCAAAAGTGACTGTGTTGATCCTGGACCATTACCAAAGGTGACTGTGTGTTGATCCTGCACCATTACCAAAGGTGACTGTGTGTTGATCCTGGACCATTACCAAAGGTGACTGTGTGTTGATCCTGGACCATTACCAAAGGTGACTGTGTGTTGATCCTGCACCATTACCAAAGGTGACTGTGTGTTGATCCTGGACCATTACCAAAGGTGACTGTGTTGATCCTGGACCATTACCAAAAGTGACTGTGTTGATCCTGGACCATTACCAAAGGTGATTGTGTGTTGATCCTGCACCATTACCAAAGGTGACTGTGTTGATCCTGGACCATTACCAAAGGTGACTGTGTTGATCCTGGACCATTACCAAAAGTGACTGTGTTGATCCTGGACCATTACCAAAGGTGACTGTGTTGATCCTGGACCATTACCAAAGGTGACTGTGTGTTGATCCTGGACCATTACCAAAGGTGACTTTGTGTTGATCCTGGACCATTACCAAAAGTGACTGTGTTGATCCTGGACCATTACCAAAAGTGACTGTGTGTTGATCCTGGACCATTACCAAAGGTGACTGTGTGTTGATCCTGGACCATTACCAAAAGTGACTGTGTTGATCCTGGACCATTACCAAAGGTGACTGTGTGTTGATCCTGGACCATTACCAAAGGTGACTGTGTGTTGATCCTGCACCATTACCAAAGGTGACTGTGTGTTGATCCTGGACCATTACCAAAGGTGACTGTGTTGATCCTGGACCATTACCAAAAGTGACTGTGTTGATCCTGGACCATTACCAAAGGCGACTGTGTGTTGATCCTTGACCATTACCAAAGGTGACTGTGTGTTGATCCTGGACCATTACCAAAGGTGACTGTGTGTTGATCCTGGACCATTACCAAAAGTGACTGTGTTGATCCTGGACCATTGGACCATTACCAAAGGTGACTGTGTTGATCCTGGACCATTACCAAAAGTGACTGTGTGTTGATCCTGGACCATTACCAAAGGTGACTGTGTGTTGATCCTGGACCATTACCAAAAGTGACTGTGTGTTGATCCTGGATCATTACCAAAGGTGACTGTGTGTTGATCCTGGACCATTACCAAAAGTGACTGTGTGTTGATCCTGGACCATTACCAAAGGTGACTGTGTGTTGATCCTGGACCATTACCAAAAGTGACTGTGTGTTGATCCTGGACCATTATCAAAAGTGACTGTGTTGATCCTGGACCATTACCAAAGGTGACTGTGTTGATCCTGGACCATTACCAAAAGTGACTGTGTGTTGATCCTGGACCATTACCAAAAGTGACTGTGTTGATCCTGGACCATTACCAAAGGTGACTGTGTGTTGATCCTGAACCATTACCAAAAGTGACTGTGTTGATCCTGGACCATTACCAAAAGTGAATGTGTAATGATCCTGGACCACTGCCACAAATGACTCAGTAATGGTCCTGGACCATTGTTGCAGGTGATTAAGTAATGATCCTGGACCATAATACAGTGACTCAGTAATGATTCCGTAAAGGTCTGGGATGGATCAGAATGGCATCTATAATTTCTTCATCAAATACTGTGTTAGTTGTGAATTATTTCATCTCTGATATTTTCACACATTATCTCTCTCTTTTGGTTTTGTTTTAAATGTTAAGGTGTTGTCTGGGTATGACATTTCAAAAAATTAAATAAGCATATTTTAAAACTGATTTTATAATATATATATAAGTAATGTTTTATCTGGGTGCCTCTGCAAAAACAGTGATTATGTATGAGTGAGGTGAGGTGTTGAATGATGATGAAAGTATTTTCTTTTTGGGGATTTTCTTTCTTTTTGGGTCACCCGGCCGTGGTGGGAGACGGCCGACTTGTTGAAAAAAAAATGAGTAATGTGTCTTTTTTTTTTGTTAACATAGTGGTTGTCTCCCACTGAGGTACGGTGACTCCAAAAGAAGAATCACATTAATCATCATTCACTCAGTTTCTCTGTTCCATTGCCTGAAATTGCAGAGCCAGTTTAAAACTGCTTAAGAATTCCTAATAAATTTAAGAGATCAATGAATCGTTTTAAAGTATATTAATACAGAGAGCAGGATAGCAGATGAACAAGGAGGCTTTAGGAAAGGTAGTGGGTGTGTAGACCAAGTGTTTGCAGTGAAACACATGGGTGAACAGTATTTAGATAAGGGTAAAGAGGTTTTTGTGGCATTTATGGATTTGGAAAAGGCATATGATAGGGTGGATAGGGGGGCAATGTTTCAGATGTTGCAAATGTATGGAATAGGAGGTAGGTTATTGAAAGCGGTGAAAAGTTTTTACAAGGATAGTGAGGCTCAGGTTAGAGTATGTAAGTGAGAGGGGATTATATCCCAGTAAAAGTAGGCCTTAGACAAGGATGTGTAATATCACCGTGGTTGTTCAATATATTTATAGATGGAGTAGTAAGAGACGTGAATGCTCGGGTGTTGGCAAGAGGTGTGGGGGTTAAAAGATAAAGAACCTAACACAAAGTGGGAGTTGTCACAGTTGCTCTTTGCTGATGACACTGTGCTTTTGGAAGATTCTGAAGAGAAGTTCCAGAGGTTGGTGGATGAGTTTGGTAGGGTATGTAAAAGAAGAAAATTAAAAGTGAATATGGGAAAGAGTAAGGTGATGAGGATAAAAAAAATTAGGTAATGGAAGATTGGATATCAGGTTGGAGAGAGTAAGTGGGAGAGATATTTGGGAATGGGTGTATCAGCAGATGGGTCTATGAAGGATGAGGTGACTTGTAGAATTAATGAGGGGAAAAAGGTGAGTGGTGCACTGAGGAGTCTGTGGAAACTAAGAACTTAATCCATGAAAGCAAAGAGGGAAATGTATGAGAGTATAGGTATACCAACGCTCTTGTATGGGTGTGAAGCATGGATGGTGAATTTTGCAACAAGGAGAAGGCTGGAGGCAGTGGAGATGTCATGTCTGAGTTCAATGTGTGGTGTGAATATAATGCAGAGAATCCGTAGTTTGGAGATTAGGAGAAGGTGTGGGATTACCAAAACTATTATCCAGAGGGCTGAGGAGAGGTTATTGAGGTGGTTCAGACATTTAGAGAGGATGGAATGAAATAGAATGACTTTGAGAGTATACAATTGTGTAGTGGAGGGAAGGTGGGGTAGGGGTCAGCCTAGAAAAGGTTGGAGGGAGGGGTTAAAGGAGGCTTTGTGTGTGAGGGGCTTGGACTTCCAGCAAGCGTGCTTGAGTGTGTTAGACAGGAACAAATGGAGACAAATGGTTTTTACCACTTAACGTGCTGTTGGAGTGTCAGCAAGGTAACATTTATGAAGGGATTCAAGGAAACCGTCAGGCTGGGCTTGAGTCCTGGAGATGGGAAGTACAGTGCCGGCACTCTGAAGGAGGGGTGTTAGTGTTGCAGCTTTATAACTGTAGTATAAGTGTGCCTCTGGCAAGAGAGCGATGGGCCACCCTGCCTTGGTAGGAAACGGCCGATGTGTTAATAATAAAAAATAATATAATATATGCTGAAAGTTGTACTATTTTTGCTACCTCTCTTTTTTGTAATAATGCATACTTAAAATTGTACCACTCATTATCCTGTGTCTAGTCTTAAGTAGTTTGTAAACATTAGGATATCACTAATGTATAGGAGTTAACTTTTGTTTCTGCACATACATAACTTTTATTATACTGAAATAATAATTTAACTTATAAAAATACAGTAGAACCCCCGTATCCACTGATTCGGTATCTGCGGTTTCAGTTATTCACAGTTTACTTTGACCCAAAAATACCTCTTAATTTTGCATAATAATGACCCCAAAGCCTAAGAGAAGCTGTGAAGTGCTTCCCATCAGTAAAAAAGTGATGATTCTCCACTTATTGTGCATAATTTATCACTTAAACTTTATAGTAGGTATGTATAGGACTTATATAAGGGGTTTGCTACTATCCACAGTTCCGGCATCCATGGCAGGCCTTTGGAACACATCCCCATGGATATGGGGGCCCTAGTGTATAAAGGAAAATTCTTCTTCTTTCAACAAACCGGCTGTATCCCACCTAGGCAGGGTGGCCCAAAAAGAAAAACAAAAGTTTCTCTTTTTTTTAATTTTAGTAATGTATACAGAAGAAGGGGTTACTAGCCCTTTGCTCCTGGCATTGTAGTTACCTCTTAGGACATGTATGGCTTACGGAGGAAGAATTTTGTTCCACTTCCCCATGGAGAATAAAGGAAAATTAAGATAAATAAATTGCTAAATGTAAAACAAAGAAAAAATCTTTCATTTCTTCTTTTTCGGGTCACCCTGTCTAGGTGGGATATGGACGGCTGGCTTGTTTAAAAATCAAGTTCTGAGGTGAAAATGTCATATTTGG